TGAGATAACATTAAGTGGTCTTGCTATGCAAGAACACTTAATAATAATATATATGTGAGATAACATTAAGTGGTCTTGCTATGCAAGAACACTTACTAATAATAATATATATGTGAGATAACATTAAGTGGTCTTGCTATACAAGAACACTTAATAATAATAATAATAATAATAATAATAATATATATGTGAGATTACATTAAATGGTCTTGCTATGCAAGAACACTTAATAATATATATGTGAGATAACATTAAGTGGTCTTGCTATGCAAGAACACTTAATAATATATATATATGTGAGATAACATTAAGTGGTCTTGCTATGCAAGAACACTTAATAATAATAATATATATGTGAGATAACATTAAGTGGTCTTGCTATGCAAGAACACTTAATAATAATATATATGTGAGATAACATTAAGTGGTCTTGCTATGCAAGAACACAATAATATATATGTGAGATAACATTAAGTGGTCTTGCTATGCAAGAACACTTAATAATATATATGTGAGATAACATTAAGTGGTCTTGCTATGCAAGAACACTTAATAATAATAATAATAATAATATATATGTGAGATAACATTAAGTGGTCTTGCTATGCAAGAACACTTAATAATAATATATATGTGAGATAACATTAAGTGGTCTTGCTATGCAAGAACACTTAATAAGGATGTCTTTGTTTAATTAAGATATAGAGGGGGAGGTACAAGTAACAAAAGATTGACTAGAAAGTAATATTTCTAGAAATAGCCTAATTAAAAATAAAAATATTAATAAGAATATTAGTAAAAATATTAGTAAAATATTAAAAATACTTTGTAAGATCAATCTCCTAAAAATGATAAAATGTACATATATAAATCTCTCTAAAAATGAAATAACTCAAAATCCTGATTAAGACCATGTGGAATTAATGATTTAAAGTTATAAATACATTTCATCTCTTCTCCTATCTTCTTGTTAAAATCTCCCCCCTCCAATCTTTTTGTACTAATTTAATTGCACAAAAGAACATATTTTTTAGATCATTATTATGGTAAATTTTAAAATGGTTCGAAACACTGTGTTTTTCTAAACCTTTTTTAATGTTCCTTATGTGTTCTGCAATTCTTATATTTAAACATCTGATAGTTCTACCCACATATATGAGACCACAAGGGCATTTGAGAATGTAGATGACGTTTTTTGAGAAACATGCTAGTTGGTTTTTAATCGTGAATATTTTATCTTTCTGGTTGTGGAAAGAAGTAATTTGTCTTTTAGTATTTAAAGATGGACATGGACGTACTAACAATTATACAGCCAACTGAGGAAGCCACGTGAGGCGAAGCGCGTTTTGGCAATACAAATATATTTTTAATTTTATATTTTATGTTATCAGTATCTAATAAATATCGTTTTTTACCTTTCTATCCACTGGATCTAGTGCAATTTATTTTTGGGAACAAGCTTCCATTGGATATACCAACCACTAGCAGAGGGATTTGGATCACCCTGGAATAGATTCTGAGGCCATCAATACCAGAGTCAGGTTCTGTATTGGCTCTAATTTTGTGAGTGCTTACTTACACATGTTGTCCTTTGTGTTGATATTGTAAAGTTATCTGCACTATTTTGTATACCTCTCTGTCTCCACAGAATCAATTGAGAAGAGAGGAAATAGTATATTTGCTCCATCCATTGTGTTTGTACTGTAACAAAATTGTATACCTACAACAATCAAATTGCAAGAGAGTGTACAATGCAATAACAGTAGAAAAGGAGACTTACCCTAAGGGTGGGTTCCTGAGCGAACGAAGGGAGGGAAAATATTTACCTCCTGTCTTTAATAAAATTTAGATTATTCGTTCACTGTAAACTAGAATAATCCCTAATTTTATGGCAAGACAGGAGGCTTCATATTTGCTGTTTTAACGCTCTTGAATAAAGGAACAAATCGCATGTGGTGTTGGTTTAAAATAAAAAGTTTGAAAGGTAGATTCCCTTGACCAATCTGCGGAGGATAAAATATCTGCCAGCGAGCTGACTGCACGAAAGGCAGAGGATGCGGCCGCTCCTCTAGCGGAGTGAGCACCGAATGATCGATCAATTCTTGCTTGGGTAAGCAGCCATCTTATCCAGCGTGCGATTGTGGGGGAAGAGACCGGTTTGTGAGGTCTAACCTAAGAGACAAAAAAAGGTCCTGTAGGGGAACATAGAGAGGTAGTGTTCTCAATGTAACAACGGGTACACAGGGCTACACAGAGAGACGGTCTGTCGGGAAAGTATGGATAAAAAGACTGAGGAGGAATTAGTAAATCTGACACCGTCTGGTGCAAAGGTCACAGCATGAGAGTCAAAGGCCTGAATGTCTGAAACTCTGCGGAAGAACACCAGGCACAGGAGCAGGGCCAATTTCGCAGAGAGTTGGAGTAGGGATAAGGCCTCGTTAGACGGACAGGAATCCAACAGTGTGAAGACCTTAGAAATATCCCAGAAATTAAAGTATTTGGCAGTAGGTGGCCTCGTCAAATGTATGCCCCGTAAAAGTCTGCACACGGAAGGGTGTTTCCCAACCAAAGAGTTATCAACAGTGTCATGGGCCGCCGAAATGGCGGAGCGAAAAATATTAATCGATCAGGATGAGTTACCTTGATCGAAAAGAGATATGACATTTAAAATGGATGAAAGAGGTGTTGAAATGGGATCGAGATCCCTTTCCAGACACCAGCTGACCCAAATCCGCAATGCGGAGAGATAGGTTCGTCTGGTTCCTGGAGCCCACGAGTCCCACAGGAGTGTTTGAGCAGTGCATGAAAGTCCCGCGACATGCCTAGCTCCCCTGAAACTGTCCAAGCTACCAGTTGAAGATGGCCCTGTAGGGCAAGTGGATAGTAATCGCCCGTTGGGTTCCTGAGGTCCCAAAAGGAGCGAGGTAGTAGGAGGGGGTAGTCTATTGATAGTTCCAGGAGGGTGGGGAACCAAGTCTGGGCCCTCCATAGTGGAGTGATTATTACTATCTTGACGCTTTGCGCTTTGACCCAGTGGATGGTCCATTGAATCATCCAGAAAGAAGAGAAAGCATAGGCTCCTCTCTGCGGCAAAGGTTGCAGAAAAGCGTCGACTGCCAGAGATAGAGGGTCTGGTAGCCAGCTGAAAAAATCGTCAGTCTGACGATTCAGGCGAGATGCAAAGAGGTCGAGTGTGAGTGGCCCCCGTAATAGATGAATGTGGTGGAACAGGAAGAGGTCTAATTGCCAGTCGCTGGCATCTCTCCAATGACACGAAAACCAGTCAGCGACTAAGTTGTCGGGTCCTGGGAGATACTCCGCTCGAATGGACAGATTTCTGTCTAGGTGGAATTGGTACAGGTCCTTGGTGAGATCGGACAGAAGTTTGGATTTGGAACCTCCAAGTCGGTTTACATACCGCACCGCGGAGATGTTGTCCATCCGTAGTACCAGGGAGCAGTTGGAGGCGTCCTTGGCAAAGCTGCGGATCGCGAAGGATCCAGCAATGAGCTCGAGACAATTTATGTGGAGCACCTGTTCTGATGGGGACCAGAGACCCCATGTGAAGGTTTGGGCACATGTAGCACCCCAACCTAAGAGGCTGGCATCGGATTCCAGGATAAAATCTGGTTGAGATCCGAAGATCGCTTTCCCATTCCAGGCTTCCATATTGTGAAGCCACCAGTGGAGTTCGATGAGAACTTCGTCTGTCAGCGATATGAATTGATCGTAAGAGGTTGAGCGATGCAAGTAGGAAGTTTTCAACCGTTGCATTGCTCTGTAGTGTAAAGGCCCGGGAAATATAGCTTGGATTGATGCGGACAGGAGTCCAAGAATGTGTGCAAGGTCGCGGAGCCGAGGTTGCTGTGAAGAGAGTAATTTTTGAATTTCTTTTTTTATGTTTTTGACTTTGGGGTAAGGCAGTTGCAAAGTTGCCTGAACTGAATCTATTTGAAAGCCCAGAAACTGGACTATCTGAGCGGATCCCAGATCTGATTTCTGGAAATTTATGACAAAACCAAGGTTTTGAAGGAGGGCAGAGGTCATGTGCGTGTGTTTGCGAAGCAAATGTTGGTCTTGGGCCATAATCAGGATATCGTCTAGATATATGATGGAAGGTATTCCCTGAGAACGGAGTAGTGCCATGACCGGTTTCATTAACTTGGTGAAACACCAAGGGGCGGAGCAAAGTCCGAAAGGAAGGGAGGTGAACTGCCAAATTTTGTCTTGCCATAGAAATTGAAGGAAGGCATGATGACTTGGCGCGATTGGGACCATGAGGTAGGCATCCCTGAGGTCGAATCTGGAGAACCAGTTTCCCACACCGAGTAGGTCCCTGAGAAGATGGATACCTTCCATCTTGAAATGACGGTATGTGATAAATTGATTCAGTTCTTTGAGATTGATAATAGGACGGTGGTCTCCTGTCTTTTTCCGTACAAGAAAAATGTTGCTGAGGAAAGTGTAAGGGAAAGGCGAAGGTTCGATCACCCCTTTGCCTAGTAGTTTGTGTAACTCTGAATTTAAGGTTAGTTTGTCTGCTTTTGACATCTCTAAAGGTGTCGGAGGAAAACTTTGAATGGGGTGTGTGAGGAAATCCATTTTGAAACCCCTGACTGTATGAAGGATCCAGTGATCCTGAGAAAGTAGTTTCCACTGTTGGAAAAGGGTTAATCGACCTGCAATTGGTACATTTTTTAAATAAGTAAGGTCCAG